AGCTTGTGCACCTGGATGAATGTCACCATTCTCTGAAACAGAGACCCCTGGGGGAGGATGAGAAGTTTGAGGGAGGGGAGTTGACTCTGGATATGTTGAGTTTGAGGCACTCTTGAAACATCCTGGGGGAGATGCCTTGTAGGCACAAGTGTTTATAAATTTGACCTCAGAAGAGAACTGGAAGACCTAATTTTTGAGTCGTGGGCCTATAGATAATTGAAGCTGTGGACGAGGATGAAGTCATTTAGCGTATGGTGAAGAGCTTTAAAAAAAACAATACCAATGTCATTGCCAGGAGCTCTGGTAGCATAGTGCCTAAAAGCACTCGACTGCTAACCAGAAGGCTGGCGGTTCAAACCCACCAGGCACTCCTCAGAAGGAAGATGGGGCAATCTACTTCCGTAGTGATACTGCCTTAGAAACCTAAGGAGGGGTTGCTATGAGTTGGGTCCGACTTGATGGCACATAACAACAACAACAACAATATCATTGCCTGGACCCCACCCTAGACCAATTACCACTCCCTGCCCCCCTCCCCTCCCCAGACTCGCATATAGTAAAATGGGCACAGACCCACAGACTGGTGTTTGAGAGGCCATAGGTTTTTTTTGGGTTTTGAGGCCTTTAGTTTGCTGACACATACACAGTCTAGCTTTCCTAATATCCCCACTCCTCTATCCCATCCCACCTGCCACCCTCAGATCCCTTCAGGTATATCTCTACCACCTACTGAATGAAGTCATTACTTAACCTAGCATTAAGGCCCTCTCCATCTCTACCTTAATCTACCTTTCAATCTTATTGCTGACTACTTCCCATCTATTTAAATCAAACAACTCGTCTCCCCCTTAGTATGCTCTACAATTCCCTGCCTCAGCTCTCTTTCTCAAGCTGTTTCCTCCCTGGGGTCTTGCTCTCCACCTCAACTTTTTCCTGTTCATATATGTTTCCTTAAGATCCCTCAGCTCCCATTAAGATCTAGAACACTCTCCTTCCTCTGAAGAACTTGTAATTCCTTAATGATATGTACCTCACATATTGTACATAGCAGAGGTGACCCTCACTAGAGTATGTTCTAACTATGTCACGTCTTAACACTGTAACTCTTCCTTGCCATTCTTAAGAGATGCATTCCCAGAATCCTCACTCTTAAATTACCCCAGAAACAAATGTAGAGCTAAGTAGAGAGTATTTATTAAGATACAGATGCTGGGTCAGTATAGGAAGTTAGGGGGTGGCCCTCCTCTGTATCTGCTCAGTGGCAAGCAGTTCATACTTGGGTCTCAACAAAACTGGTCCTTCTCCATAGCTCAAAATTTGAATGATAGCTGAAAATGTGAATGATAAATGTGAGAATGCCAAAGACCTGAATTTCCTGTGCCTCCTACACACCCTGTACCTCAAAGGATCTCTGTAGGAACGAGCTGATGGAACAGACAAATTCCTGATTACACTGGGACCTGCCTGATACTGTGTCGTAGAGATAGCACAAAGAGCTACCTCCCAACGTGCTGTCAGACAAGTCTCCAGGCATGGGGTGGAGAAGCCTTTGAGTCTTACATACAGTAAGACACTGACAAGAGTGGACAGAGAGAGTGGGGAAGGGATAAGAGAATTAAGAGATTTACCCACCCGATCTCATTTGACCTCTTGCACTCAGATAACCACTGCTACCTCTCATGAGGATCAATATACTCTCATGTGGGGATGGAGATGACCCCAGTGACCCCTAGCAACAAGGTTTTGCATCATCCTGTTGGGCACAACAGATTGTGTTGAGCCAGAGACACTCTTTGGTGCAGGCTCTCTGGTGAACCCTGCCCATTTGCAAAATGCTAGACTGCAGTCAGGAGCCTAGATTTAAGTATATATTACAGGTAGTCATGAGCTTGAACTCTGTGAATGAGTTTTTTTAATTCTCAGATTTCATTTTAGTGACTAATGCTAATTGACATTCCCACCAACAGTGCATGCGATGTTCCACATCCTCATCAATACTTGATATTGTCAGCTTTCTTATTGTAGCCAATTGTGTGTGTGTGCACGCACGCGCATGTGCACACGTGTGTGTGCTCATACGCGTGCAGTAGTACCTTGTTGTTTATTTTGCATTTCCCTGATGACAAATGAGGTTAAACAGCTTAAGTATTTATTGACTATTTGGATATCCTTTTTTTGTGAAGTACCTGTTCAAATGTCTTGCTTATATTTCTATTTGATCTTTATTCTTATTGATTAGTAGAAGTTATTTTTGTATATTGAGTATGAGGCCTTTCTGAGATATATGTATTGCAAATATCTTCTCTCATTCTGTGATTTGTTTTTTGCTCTCTTAATGGCATCTTTACGGGCCCTGGTTGCACAGTGGTTAAGTCCTCAGCTGCTAACCGAAAGGTTGGTGGTTCAAACCCACCAGCCACTCCATGGGAGAATGATGTAGCAGTCTGTGTCTGTAAAGAATACAACTTGGAAACCCTATGAGGCACTTACACTCACTCCTATAGGGTCACTAGGAGTCAGAATTGACTCAATGGCAATTGGTTTGGGACAGTGTCTTTCATGAATGGAAATTCTTAATTTTAATTTAATCCAATTTGTCAGTCTTTTCCTTTATGGTCTATTCCTTTCTGTAAACTGTTTAAGAAAGGTATGCCTATTCCAAGGGCAGTGAAACTTTTATTCAAGCTTTTTGTTTTAATTTTCACATTTAGACCTATAAAAAAAAACCTCAAACTCACTGCTGTCGAGTCAGTTCTGACTCATAGCAACCTCTCCTTGGGTTTTGGAGGCAGTATCTCTATGGAATTAGATTGCCCAGTCTTCCTTCCAATCTACTGAAATTAATTTTTGTGTATGATGTGATGTAGAGGTCAAGATTGTGTTCCCACCACCCCAGGTGGATATCTAGTTGACCCAGAACCATTTATTGAAAACATCATCCCCTTCCTGCTGTGCTGGAGAGCTAATTTTGTCATAAATTGAAGATGTGTAGTCTGTTTCTGGACTTTCTTTTCTGTTCTATTGGTCTCTTTGTAAGTCCCCATCCCTATACCTATGGTTAATGTTGTATGTCAGTTAGGTCATGATTCTCAATATTATGTAATTATCCTCCATTTTGTGATCTGATGTAAGGGGAATTTCCTTGGGGGTGTGGCCTGCATCCATTGTACATAGATGTTCTGGCAAAGCTCTCTTTTCTCTCAATCCTGCATCCAACTCATCATCCCCTGAGCTCTAGTTCTTGGGATGTAAGTCAGCAGCCTGCCATTTGACTTTTAGATTTTGGGATTCACCAGCTCCTGCAACCCCCGTGAGCCAGCGGCCTGCCATATGACCCGGTGATTTTGGGTTTATCAGCCCCTGCAACCACATGAATCTGGAGAAGCCTCCAGCCTGATGCCTGACCCATGGATTTGGGACTTGCTAGCCTCCACAAATGGATGTGTCATTTCCCTGAAACAAATCTCTCTTTTATATGTATATATGCTTCATTGGGTGTGGTAGTTACGCTTGTGTGTCAACTTGGCTGGGCCTGGTTGAGTGGCTGGGCAGCTAGTGGTAGTTATTCCCCATAATGAGACTGGCAATCAACTCTATGGTAGGATCTACCATAAGCAGCTGAGTACCTGCTTTGGGATGTGGTCTGCTTCTTGTATATAAGGAGAAGCCTTGGGAATAGTCTCTAATCTATGGCATGCTTGGACCCTGCATGTAGCTGTGTGTCATTGTTCAGCAGCCTGCCATGCTCTGCTGACCTTGGGATTTAAAATGGACTTGAATATAATGGCCTGCCATGTAATTTGGTAATATTGGGACTGTTCCTTGCTACTTGTCAACCGTGGGCTTGGCAGCTTTAGCAGCCAGCAACAACTGTCTGAGTGAAGAAAAGCCTCTAGCTTCAGTGGGCCGGGAGCTGGAGGCAGAGCTGAAGCCCGAGGCTGAGTGGCTTTCACCCAGCCCCTAGAGTCTGGCATTTTGAACTTGGACTTAAAGCCTCCAAACTGTGAGAGAATAAATTCCTGTTTGTTAAGGCCATCCCATTTATGGCATATTTCTTGTCAGAGCGGCACTAGGGAACCAGAACACTGGGTTTGCTCCTCTAGAGAACACAGCCTAAGACAGCCCCACTGTGTTAGTTCCTATAACTTTAAGCTTTGATCTCTGATAGAATAAACTTTCTAAGTATATTGCTTCTTAAAGATTGTCTTGACTTTTCTAGGCCCCCAACATTTCATTTAAATTTTAGAACTAACTTGACAATTTATACCCAAAAAAATGGGCTGGAATTTTGATTCCTGGGACCTGTAAATCAATTTGGGAGGAATGGCTATCTTTACAATGTTGCGTTTTACAATCCATAAACATAGTAAATAAACATATTTAGTGTTTTATTGTTTTCTTGTAGAGATCTTATGCATCTTCTATTACATTTATTGATATGTAGGTGATGATCATGTAAATGATACCTTTTTAAAATTTCAATCTCTAATAAAATTTTCAAAGGCTACCGAGCTCTGGTGGCATACTGCCTAAGGCACTTGACTGCTAACCAGAAGGCTGGCGGTTCAAACCCACCAGCCACTCCTCAGAAGGAAGATTGGGCAATCTACTTCCGTAGAGATACCACTTCGGAAACCCAAGGAGGGGTTGCTATGAGTCGGAACTCACTCGACGGCAGTGAGTTTAGTTTTCTTTTTTAGACCGTTTATATGGTTGTTTGTATATAATTGATTTTTTTTTTTTAATTTTGACCTTCTATCCAATGACCTTTCTGAATTACTAATTGTAAGAGCTTTATCCATACTCTTGGATTTTCTACATGTAATTATGTCATTTACAAATAATGGTGTTTTTTTATTTCTTCCTCTCTAGTCCTTATACTTTTATTTTTATAAAAGGCCATTTGAGGCCTCAGCCAGGTCTTCAGGACTGCACTGTTTCCCTGCCATCAGGTGACCTGCCCCAGCCCTGCTCAGTCATCTCTACACTCCTCTGACAGAATGAATGCCCTGGATTGTGTCCCCTTTAAGGTGACGAAGGGCCTTGTGATAGACACAGAGCCGCTCCCTGGGCCAGAGCTCAGCGTCCCAGCCTGCAGGGAGCTTCTGCTGGGTTCCATGGTAAGTATGTCCTTTGGTTTTTCTATCTGGCTCCTAGCTCCTGGACTGTGGGTATGTGGGTGAGGCTGAGCCCTATGGGGCCTTGTTCCTTAACTTTAAAGAACAGCCAGGCCTGCTCTGGTATATTGCAGGGAGTTAGAAATAACCTAGTAGAGGAAAAGATGTTTCATGAAGAAGGCTATTGGCTAGGTGATGGGGACTATTTAATAGGTATTGTTTCAAGCTTAAGATAATTGGGAGGCTGCTTATTTGACGCGACAGGGTCCTTGCAAGGATGTGCCAATTCATTCCTCTCTTCCTTGTCAGCCTATCACCATGTCTAAACTCCATTATTAGAATCATTCCTTTGGGCCAAGACACTATTTCCAGAATCCTTAGGTATAATTCAGGCAGTTACTTGGGGTATGTTAGAAGGGATTACTGTTCTACAGACTTACAACATGTCTGCCCTGGAGGTCACCTTGGAGCACCCCAGGCCCCCTGGCCCTCATACTGGGATATGTGCTTTCCCCACCCCCCAGTGTGTTGGTGTCACCCATGACTTCAGGATAAACATGGCTTAATTTCCTGGAAAGTCAAGTTTACTTCAAGATTTAGAAGGAAAATTCATTGCATTTATATTATAACACATGCATATCATAGGCTAGAATGAAAAATTCATGTGAATTTTAAAAAAAAAAAGGGAAAGGAAGAAATATATTTGCTTGTGGAATTGGCATCGGGCTATTGAGAGCTGGGTCCCCAGGCTCTTGTGAGTCCATTCTCCACTCTCAGCAGTGTACTTAGTAGACAAGTTTGGGCTTGGTTCAGCTTACTCATTTTACAGATGAGGTAACTAAAGCTCGGAGAAGGGAAAAGATTTGCCCAAAGTTAGTGGCAAGACTGAAATCCAGGTCCCCTAATTCCTAGTCATTTCAGATTAGCTGAGAACAAGCATCAGAGTGTGAGACACAGGGCAGGTAAGGTTTGAGATTAGAGAGAAATCAGGAGCAGAGCACACATCCAGGAAGGAGAGACCTGGGGCGGGAAAATAGAGTGCCTGGCCTGGGGCACAGAAGGTTCAAAGCTTGAAAAAGCTTTATAAAGTCCAGAGCAGTGTCCAGAGCCTCCTCCTCCTTCTGTGGGGCAGGAGCTGTTGCTCTCCCAGGAAGTCTGTGCTGTGACTTCTCACTTAGGCAGGAGGGCCTATGTTGGGAAGAGGAATTTGCCTTATTAAACATGGTGTAGAGGTGGATTATCACAGTTTTTCCCTCCTTGCTAAGCTCAAGCCAAGCTGTTGTTGTTGTCATGTGCCACTAAGTCAGACCCGACTCATAGCAAACCCTCCTTGGGTTTCTGAGGTGGTATCACTACGGAAGTAGATTGCCCAACCTTCCTTTGGAGGAGTGGCTGGTGGGTTTGAACAGCCAGCTTTCTGGTTAAGAGTCAAGTGTGGAAGAGGCTATTCTGAATGCTCCTTCTAGGAGCAGAAATGGGCACTGCTTTCAGACCCTCAACAGTTCCAAAGTGTCCCTCCAAGTCTAGGGGTGTCATTGCCAGGTTCCTCAGGGAGAAGTATTCCAGTCAGTCTAGAGACATGAGGAGGGAAGAAGAGAGGGACAAGCAAGCTACATAGGAGGCCAAGGCCACTCCCCACTCCTCACCTACACAGCTCAGCTCAACTCCAGAAAGAGCTTCCTGTGGGGAGACCTGGACCCATTGAAGGCATTATGAGGGAGCTGAGATCCCCTGACTCTACCACATGGCGAGGTCAAAGGATCATGAGAGCCATGCGTCGAGCCAGGGCCAGAGCTAGTCAGAGCTAAGTCTCTGTATCTCACTGACAGCCTGCATGGTGCAGCTGGAAAGAGGCCACACAGTACTCCAGATCCCTGCCCTGTGTTGCCTACAACCCCCCCTAAAAACTCTACTACTAATGAAGTCAAGTATTTTCCCTGGCTTACCTCTTTACAAAGCTTCCCATCCCAGCCCACACCCTAGCCCTGGCAGCCAGTTAGGCCTCCTCCTTCTCCTAGTCTGCTTCTCTGCTGAGACTCCTTTTCCAGGCCATGGGTCTTTCCTTTGACCTTAAAGCACCAGGAGAGAGAGCACAGAGTGACTGCCATCCAAACACAGGCATAAATGACTATTGTTCACTTTAGGGAACAGGGAAAGTGCACAGAGCAACAAGCCTGGAGGAGAGAGGAGGGGCAGCACAGGAAGGGGGTCAGCTGAGTAGAAACTTCTTGTTGCCTTTATGTCTCCATGAGTAATCCTCTGCCAAGACCATATCTGCAGCTCATATGACTATGAGACCAAAGAACTAGATGGTGGCAGGCTACCACTGTCAACCACTTGGAGGGGGATCTTTGTAGGAGAGCCTGGATAGAGAGAATAATGTGGGACAAAACTCAAAATCATTTTTTAAAAAAGGGACCAGGTTTGCTGGTCTGATAGAGCCTATGAAACCACTGAGACTATGAAACCCTGGCTGCTCTTCAGGTCTGGAATTGAACCCACTCCTGTGGCTTCCAGCCAAACAAAAGACAGGCATGTGAGCTGATATTTACATTAAGTAGATATACTCCTTGGAGAGGTCAATCATGGGAGAAAAGAAGGGCTGTGTATGCACAGGGAGACAGCTTGGGGGGCAGGAGTACATGAGAGGGAAGGACACAGGGAAGAGGTTAACTGTGGGGAAGAAGTGGGAGGGAAGCTGTTGCATTGTGGGAAATTGCAGTCAATGTCATGAGATAAAGTGTATGTGAGCTGCTGCAGGGAAAGTGAATTTGCTCCGTAAACTTTCACCCAAATCATAATAAAA